TATGTTTTATAGACGTGGCAAGATCTTTGTACAAAGACAAAGGCAAAACAGAGCCATATAAAGAACCACATGAAGAAGACAGGTGGTGGTCTTCCTGTATCAACTTCGGATCAATTATCATCAACAGAACAGCAAGTTTTAGAAACTATGCATACAACAGCAATCAGTGGGCATGATCATGTTGCTGAAACAGAAGTGTTATTTGTACGTATTTCTTTTTTATGTATGTAATTCGAATTTAAATAATATATAGAAAGTTCAAACTACATTTTTGAGTGATAATATTTCATATGAAATAACGTTTATGAATCACAAGATTATATATAATACATAAAAAATAGTTAATATATAAGTTTAGTCCTTAGTTCATCAATGATTTAAACAAACATTAAGTTCTGCATATTTATAGCTGTTAAACTAGTGCATCCTATATAACATTGTAACCAATGTTTAAATTGTAATGATCAATGTTGTATGTGTATAGGACTTTCAGGATGTAGAATACTTAGACGATGATTATCCGAACTTGTCACATAGTGAAGCAACAAATATGAAGCCAATGGATAGATATAACAAATATTATCAAACTACAACATGCAATACGCAGACTTGCTATATGGAGGATGGAACAAAGACAATTGAAAATAAAGAGGAAATAGCAAGTAACAATAATGAAATACAGAATAGCAATGTAGCTGAGGATGTACCTACAAAGAACACGACAAAACGACCTGTTTCACAAAAGAAAAAAGAATCAAAAACACGAACAGTAGCAAGCCAAAGATTAGAAAACACAATAGGGTTTACTAACGATTTAGTACATTTAACAACGGAGGATCAGCAGATAAGAAAAAAATATTATAAAAGAAAAATTAAGTTACTGAAAAAAGATATAATTATAAAAGAAAGAATAGCAAAGGCATTGGAAAATATAACCAATCTTCATCCTTCTACACAAAAGTAGTCTTAAACAGCTGTGATTTTTAGAGACTTTGTTTTTCTTTTGTTTATTGCAAATTATGTTAACTGCTGTTATTTTATGTATAAGTACATAACTGTTGTAATTTTCATACATACACACACACATACACACTAATTACTTCTTGCGATAGACCAGTGCCTGCACACAGAAAAATATCCATCGTACAGCCAAGAAAAACAAATTACTTTGTTTATTTTTTTATTTTTAATTATTTTATTTTATTTATTTTTTATTATTTGAATACTAATTGGGCCGAACGCAGGTTGTCTTTCATCTCGTATTATTTTGTGTTCCTAAATTGTGTATGTGTGTGTGTATGCGCGCGCGCATATATATTTATAATATAAGATGTTTTGGGATATTTAATGTCTTTACATGCACAATTAGTTTATGTTAACAAAGTTTTATTTCTGTAAACGTACCTGATTATGATATTAAGTTTCATTTATTATTGAACGTACGTATATGTGCAATGTGTATCATACTTTTAAGTTATATAATAAATAATAAACAATGTGTTCTTTATTATATTTAATTATACATGTTTTGAATTAATCGACCTCGAAGCCTTCTTCCTGCAGTAAGTTCTTGATTAATACGGTTGTATTCAGGAATTTCATTGTTATCATTAACATTTAACCCAAAATCAGCATTGTGATCTTCTTCTGGGCGTGGTTCTGGTATTTGCTCTTCAATGCACATATTGTGTAACATCACACAAGAATTGATTATGCGCGATGCTACATCTGGTTTATAATGCAGAACTCTATGCTTTAACAAACATCGGAAACGCATTTTTAATAAACCATTCGTCCTTTCTATGAGGGATCGTATTCCTCTGTGCGCAATATTATATCTATCTTCAGGCGAGTCTGGTGCAGCATTCATGACAGGTGTCAGTAGCCAGGGTCTTAAGGCATATCCGGAATCGCCTGTAACAAGACATAAATTATCATTATTGAATATAAAAAGTGTTAACAATATTTTAAAATATTTATATCCTATTATTACATTTACATTCCATAGTTTGTAATGATTTATGTATCCCTCAGGTATAAGACGTTTAACAATTAAAGTATTCAAATAGTGTTATCGATTACTTTAAAGGAAAATGTGTGTATAACAAAATATTAGATTCAAATAATTATACTTACCCAAAAGATAAAAAGTATTTCCTCGATCGTATATTTGTTTTAACATGGGCAAAAAGTTGCTATTATTCCAGATGTAGCTATCATGCGTACTTCCTGGATATCTTGCATTGACATGAATGATTTTCATATGACTGTCGCAAATCTGAAATAATACATGTAGTTATGAAGAAATATACAGATATGTATATATATATGCGCTTTACGTACAGTAACTTACCAATTGAACATTAATTGAATGATATCCTTTCCGGTTTACATAAATATGTTCTGGAAACTGTGGATGATGTGTAGGAGGTGCTATGATTGCTACATGGGTACAATCTATGCATCCGATAATTCCGGGAAAATTATATTTTTGCCAAAACCTAAATGAAATAACATATTTAAATAAATTAAATGAATTTTATTAAGTAATTGTAAGCAGATGGATTGTATTGACATATAGTATATCAAGTTTCTTAAATAGACACATTCTGTGTACATTTAACAAAAAGCTTACCCATCTCTTATAGATTTAACTTCTTCTAAAGTTGATGGACATTTCACCCATCTATTAAAAATTTCTGTTTGGTTTAGAGCTCTCGTCACATTATTTATACATCTGCTTACTGATGGCTGACTAACGGCTGAATGAATGTTGTGTCCTATATCCATCTGATAACTGCCTGATGCCATAAAGCGTATAGCTGTTGTTACCTGTAATAAAACAATTTAGTAAATATAATTACACATAATGTGTAAATAAATATATATATACAATATTTTAAAACGATTATGTATATTAAATATTTAAATTATCCTCTTTACCTGTGTGGTTGCATCTAACGCTGATAATCGGCGAGGTTCATCAG